TTGTTTTCTGGTTTTTTTTTTTTTTTGGTTGTTTGGGGCATGAAACCCAGGATGTCACACAGGCTGACCATGAACTCTAATGTTCTAAGCTTCAACTGCAGCAACGCCCCTCCCCACTCACCTCTCATGATAGATTCAAGGGTTCCTCACACTGTCCCTCACCCCAGCAGCAGAATCAGCAGTAGCTTTGCATGATTCTCCACAACAGGGCTTGTGCGTGTCTCCTGGTCCTTATTCACCGCATCACCCACCCAGTCATTCATTCATTGAACAATATGTACTCTCTTTGCCCTTTGTACCAGATAATACAATAAGTCCTGGGAATCCAGGTAACTAAGTCCTTGTGTAGAGGTGGACTCAAAAAAGTACACCAAGTTTTACATAACAGAATTCTATTTTTTGGGAGGAAAAGTAAGTATTAGTGGTTTTTGAGATCAAAGGAAGGCCATATACTCCAGTCTGATTGATGGGGAATTATCTGGAAGGCTTCCTGGAGGAGGTGGTCCCAAAAAGCCCAAAGGATGGGAGCTTTCTTATCTATTTCCCATTTCTTGGCAGAACACTCCTTGAGGAACCAGGTCAGTCATAGATCATATCAGATCAGGTCATTTATGCACACGTTTATTGAGTCCTCGGCAAGGAGACAAACTTACTTTGATGTAGTTTGAAAAGTAGAAAGTAGCAGCTGAGAGCCAGGTGAGAGGATGGAGGAAACAGTAGAAAGAAGGACTCAAGGAAGAGTGCCCAGTTTAGGAAGCAGACAGGAAGTAGACTGGAGCTGTCCGGTGCAGCTGCTGCGTTGCCCACTCTCCATCGTGAACACCGTGGGAGGAAGGGTATCAGTTGGTGCTGGTGCCACAGCAAGAGACGGCAGCTAGGAGAATTTTAGCTGTTCCTTATCCTTCAAAAGAGTTTCTCTTCCTTTTTTCCTCTTTTATTCTTCTCCCATACAGTACGTCCCGAACACAGTTTCCCCTCTCTCCATTCCTCCAAGTCCCTCCTCCCCACCTCCCCTCTTCTCCCAGACCCACTCCTCCTTCATTAAAAAAAAAAAAAGAACGGATCTTCCAGAGATATCCACCAAATGCGGCCTAGCAAGTTACAGTAAGACTAGGCATAAACCCTCATATCAAGGCTGGATGAGGAGGAAAAGGATCCCGAGAGCAGGCAAAAGAGTCAGAGTCACCACCACTCCCACTGTTGGGAGTCCCTCAAGAACACCAAACTGCACAGCCATAACACACATGCAGAGGGCCTAGCTCAGACCCGTGAAGGCCCTGTGATTGCTGCTTCAGTCTCTGTGAGCTCTATGAGACCTGCTTAGTCGAGTGTACGGGGTTTTGTTCTCCTGGTGTCAAAGGAGAGCTTCTATTCCATTGTGACTCAGCCGAGAGGTCCACTTTTCTGCATGTTCCTCTGGTTCACTGTCTTTAGACACCAGAAATCTCTGCTGTGAATTGCTCACTTTTTCCATGTTGGGACCATTTTGACATCTCACCAGAGGGGATTATGATGGAAGCTTGACTATTAGGTACAAGACTGAATAAGGCATTCAGTTGTTAACTATGTTCCTATTCAGTAATTGGGACTACTGATACATTGGTATTATGAAACCGATTGTTACCAAGCAAGAGTTGATTTTAGACATTAGGATTATTTAAGGTTCCAATATGGTTGGGGATGACACTTTAGCCCAATTTAATTTCTCCTGCTTTTTTCATAGTTTTATGATAAAAGTTAAGTAAAAGATGAAATAGTTTTGCTTTTCATAATGGGGAAATCTAAGCCGGACTTTTTATGGTCAAAAATTCTTTATTAAAACCACTGATCTTTACAGTTTTAATACATCATTAATATAATCCAAATAATCCCTTTCTCAAGGTCTGGCTCTCTCTAAAGCTTCCTTGTGTTCCCATTTGACATCCAGTTTCATTCTATACAACATGGTTTTAAACAGATGTACAATGTACAGGTCTTTTAAGACAATCTGCTCTTCCTAAGTCTTCATTGCTAGTTTTTCCTCCCTGCACCTCTTTTTAGAGCTGCTGGGCCTCAACATGTGCATCTCATTGCAGGAATACATATAGTTTCCAAGAAGCAGTGGGATAAAAAGGGTACCTATTATCCCCAGTGGCCTAGTGCCTGTACTCTGCATCCTCAACAACACTGGACTTGCTTCATCATGAGCCCTCTCCCCTCCCACCTCTCTGAATTCTGTTCTCCAGTGTGTCTCCAGTTCAGCCTATTTGACTGTGGACCATAGAGTCCTCTTATTTGTCATCCAGATGAGAACTTATTCATGGATTGATGCCATGTCTTGGGGTAAGTGAAAGAGAGGTCTGAGTGAAGTTTACCTTTGATTTATCTTCATAGAGATTTCTCTAGGTATGTGTTTGCAGTACATGTACTAGACTGGGGGGAATATAATCAGCCCTTGTCTTCTAAGAGATGGTTACAAGATAGCTCACGCTAGCCTTGAATTCAAAAGCCTCTGGCCTTAGCCACCCAATGCTACTGTTTTCTTTAAGACAAACTAACAAACAGAAGCTTGGGAAAAAGCCTCAATGGAAAAGGCTCTAGTCACACAACCAGAGACCAAATTTCAGATCCTCAGGATAACTTTAAAAGCCCAGTATTCACAGTACCCCTATGGCTAAATCAGAAGCCATCTGACATAAATCTCTGGTCTCTGAATACATGTTCACATACATGTGTACACATGTGCCCACACACATGCAAACACTCATACATACATGCATGTATACCATTCGCAAACAAGCAAAAATAAGAAATGGTTATTGCTGGAAGCACCATTTTTACATTGCTTATTTCATCTAGTTATGAAACATCATGTTAAGGCAGTCATTTCCCATTTTTTAAAACCTGAGTACTCCAAAACATTTGAAAATCTATTCTCCTTGTCCATTGTTAAGTAAACATGGTAAAAGTTTTATGCTAAGTTAAGACAGTGCATGGTAGTGTCTGACTATTACAGATGTTGCCATTACCATTAGGAAGCAACATTCTTACTTTAATCGGTGTTTCTGAAGGGGTTTGCTACTGAAGGGTAGCATGCAGCCATCACCAGCAAGTGAAAATGACAAGAGCAGGCTCCTCTTTCTCCCTTCTTCAGTGATGGAGGCTGAAGTCTGGGCAAGTGCTTTACCACTGGGCTGCAACCCCACCCCAAACAAATTTTTTGTTGTTGTTTTGTTTTTAAGTAAATCTTTTTACCATTTTTTCTCCTTCCCTTTTTAACAACGGGATTATATTCCCAAATAAATGCTGATTTAATGCTTGAAAGTCTTTTATTAGTCATTATGTCGCATTTCTTCCCTCCATATCAAAAGCCAACACACACACACACACACACACACACACACACACACACACATATTCTGGTTAGTGTTTATTACCAATTTGGCCCAATGTAGAGTTGTCCAAGAAGAAGCCCCTCAGCTGAAGAACTGCCTCCAACAGGTTGGCCTGTGTGCATGTCTGTGGGGTGTTTTCTGGGTTGCTAATTGATTTAGGAAGGCCAAACCCACTGTGGGCAGTAGCATCCCTAAGCAGGTGATCTTGGGATGTATAAGGAAGCTAGTAGAGCATGGGCCAGTGAGTAAACCAATAAGTAGTCTTCCTCCATGGTCCCTGTCTTCAGGTTCCTGCCCTAATATTCCTCAATGATAGACTGTGATCTGGAAGTGTAAGCAAGATAACAACTTTCCTCCCCCAAGTTGTTTTTAGTCACCGTGCTTGTCACTGAAAACTAATACACTATGTATGTTCAAGGCCACACATGTCCACATTTTTCTGGATTTAGTTATTATTAAGGCAGAATTACTTAAGACAACAGAAGAAATTAAATGTGGCGCATAATAATTAAACACAGGAAGCACATTTTTATTGAACTTTCAGTAAGTAATAAGTCAGGTGCTGGGATGTGGCAGGATGCAGGACCACTTCTAACCCTATTTATGTCTTTCACAGAGACAGCCATGGAGAAACTGCTCATATATATATAAATAAATAGGAGGGGTGGATTTAATAGCACTGTCAAGCAAGTCTATTTCAGAGACGTAAAACGCAGATCATGCAGTCATTTATCATGAAAATATTTTAATGGTCTCTCTATTGGCAATTCCATTAAGATGTCCTTCGGTTCCATTAAAAGTCAAGAGTTGGAAGCAGCCTTGTTTTCTGAGGCTTTATTTCCCAGTCACTAGAATCCAGCTCAGTGATGATGCTTGCAACAGTTCCTTTGGAAGACAGAGGCTTCTGTACTACAAGCAATGTACCAATGCCAGAGTATGTTTTCTTTTGTAAGGATGGAGACAGGACATGGATAAAGGACAAAAGGACCATCAGGAGGAGTCATCAGATACATTAGTTGGCAAGAGTACTTATGGTGTTGTGCCCAAATTCTGAACCCCAAAATCACCAAGAGGCTCATTTCTATGCAAAAGCAAAGAGTCTTTTATTGTAGTTGTTTAACGAGCTAGCCCATTAGCTCGGGCCCTTTATCCATCCACCATGGTGGATGTCTGGAGAAAGACCCCGAGAACCCATGAGGTGGAGATCTTAAAGGGCAGCGTAAGGGGAGTGTCTAGGGATATGAAACAGTCTCAGGATTGGTGCACTTCCAGATTTGGATGACCTGCCCTGTGTTGATTGGTCAACTGATTGTTATGGTCCATAGGACCTCCCAAGGCGGTTGCTATGCTCTGCTTGTCACTTGACCGTAAAGCACACCCAGAGCCGTAAAGCACAGCCCCGTGCTGGGTGTTGGTGCACACCTTTAATGCCAGCACTCGGGAGACAGAGGCAGGTGGATCTCTGTGAGTTTGAGGCCAGCCTGGTCTACAGAGCGAGTTCCAGGGCAGTCTCCAAAACAATGCAGAGAAACCCTGTCTGAAAAAAAAAAAAGCACAGCCCCTCCAGCTAACTTCTGATTGGTTCCTTGCCACGAGGAGGGCATCTGACCTCCTAGTGACCAGGACAGGAGTAGCAAGCACATGTTAGCCTGTCATGGCTGCTAAAATGGAAGGGGGGGGGGCTGGTCACTTCAATGGGGCTTGGGGACAATAACTTGACTGTCTAGCACCCTCCTTCCAGATGCACCCTTTGGAAACCCTTCCAACAGCATATTTCTTTAAAGCATACTGTGGTAAAAATACATGTTAGATGCCAGGATTCATTTACTTGACAACAAAGCTGTTTCTCAGAATGCCTATTAATATCTGAAAGAATGAATGTTCTTGGAATAGTCCCTGGGAAACACGCTTTGGAGATTTGTTTAATAATTTTTAATTGGCTCCCAACTAATAAGACCTAAAGTTGTGAGCTAGAGACTGTAGTAGGTGTAGAACAGATGATGATGATGATGATGAATGAGGTGGATGAGGAGGAAAGGTGAAGAGGAGAAGAAAGAAATGGAGGAGGAAGGAGAAGAATGAGAAAACTATTGTATGTGTTTCACAATGCAGAGATACCCAGCATGGCCTGAAAAAGACCAATGAGATGGTGGGCACTTGTGTAACACAACATTATCTTTCAGGACAGGTTGCCATGGACTACAGCAGTTGCTCAATAACACAACAATGTCCAAATGGTCTACAGGTCACCTCAGGTTTCTTAGTCACTATGTCATTGGGTGAGGCCATGATGTGTCCTGAGAGATATGAGTCATTTCAAGCTGCAGTAGTGACAAACCTGTAGGAAACTCTCCCTTGTCTTTCTCTTCTTCCAGCAACACTGCCTCAGATAGAGAAGGCGATGCTTCCTGAACTCATTAGATATGGGGAGGACATGTGGAAGACAAATTGCCCTAGAGAAACATAATGGACTTTAGGCAAAGGAGAAATACATGAGAACATTTTTGCTAAGTCACTGTGTTTAAAAAAATAATTACAAAATAGTAACTTACGTGTGTCTGTGTGAGTGTATGCCATTGCATGGAATCCAGAAGAAAGCCTCAGATCCCCTGGAGCTGGAGGTCTAGGCAATTGTGAGCTACCTGTGTTGTTGATAGGAACTGAGCTTGGGTTCTCTGGAAGAGCAGCAAGCGCATTTAATTAGCCACTGAGTCATTGTTAGCCCCTTAAATTAATTAAGTTGTACACAAAATAATTTTATGATGGCATTTTCATATGCATGAATCAATATAATTTGTTCTTATTCGTCTGTTTTCCCCACTTCCTCCTTTTGCTGGTCCCTTTCTTCTCTTCAGTTTCTCCCGAGTTTCCTCGTCATGTTCATCCTATCACCTTCTCATCCTCCAAGCCTTTAAGATCTTTGCTTCCTCTTTCATAGTCCCCTTTCAACTTCCAATGGTGTAGTACCTTGAAAACCAGTGTATTAGGTACCAGGATTTGCTTACTTGACAATAAAGCTTTTTCTCATAATACCCATTAATATCTGAAAAAATACTGAACATACAGTTTTAAGTACAGGCTCTACATATAATAGAAACGTATTCAGAACAATAGAAAAAGGGGCTTATTTTTCTTAACACAATGACTTATAATCCAATCCACTTTCCTGAATATTTCATGATTGCATTTTTCTTTATAGCTACATAAAATGCTACATTTCACCATCATTTAATCTGTTGATAGACATGTAGGCTGCTTCCATTTCCCCAATATTATGACTAGTTCAGGAATAATCATGGCTATGCAAATATCTGTATGGTATGTTGCAGGTCGTCCCCTGTAGGCAAAGTTTCTGTTCCGCCTGGTCCCGCAGCTGTTTAGCCACAAATGAGCACATAGAGGCATCTATTAATTATAAACTGTTGGCTGATGGTTCAGGCTTTTTACTGGTTAGTTCTGTCTTAATTGTTAATCCATAACTATTAGTCTATGTATTTTTACATGGTTTTATCTTACCAGAGTGATGGGGAAGTCCTGTGTATATGTCAATAAAGCACTGTTGGCCAATAGGGAAGCAAGATAGGTGGAACTAGGAGTCCAGGAGGACTCTGGGTAGGAGAAACACAGGGAGTCACAATGTAGCCTGCCAGAGAAGTAAGATGTCTGGAACTTTTCTCCGGTAAAAGAAATACATAGATTGGCAATTATGGGATAAATACTTTGTTAAGAGAAGCTTTTTCTTTTGAGGAGCCTTTCCGCCAGCCTGGTTCTTGATCTGCATCAGTCCCAAATAAACACACAGGAGGCTATATTAATTATGAAGCTGTTGGCCTTGCTTGTTTCTTACTAGCTAGCTCTGACTTAAGTAATTACCCCATAATTGTTAATCTAAGTATGTCTCTTACCGGAGAATAGTTCCAGGCTTCCTACCCCCATGGCGTTACATGTTGACTCTCTGTGTTCCTCCTTCCCAGAGTTCTCCTGGACTCCTAGTCCCACCTATCTAGATTCCCTATTGGCCAGACAGTGCTTTATTACAAATGCACAGGACTTCCCCAACAATACTTAAGTCAGAGCTAGCCCGTAAGAAACCAAGCAAGCAGCCAACAGCTTCATAATTAATACAATGTCTTGTGTGTTATTTGGGGACTACAACATGGCAGAGCCCAGGCAACTGGTGGGGAAAAACCAAAGCTGCTGGCAAGAAAAAGGCTTCTCTCTACACCAGAGAACTTCCAGCATCCTATCTTCCCAACAGCTACATCGTGTCTCTCTGCCAGCTTCTCTCTTTTCTCTACCCAGCATTCTCCTCATCTGGTAGCCCTGCCCATACTTCCAGCCTGGTTCCTGGTCAATCAGTGTTTTATTCATCAACCAATGAGAGAAACATATGTACAAAATGACATCCCCAGTCAGTTCCCCAAAGGTTCATGTATTTGAACACTTGGTCTCACGTTAGTGGCGCTGTTTGTGGAGATTTAGGAGGCTGGAGAAAGTATATCACCAGAGGTGAGCTTCGAGAGTTTAAAAACTCTCGCTCTTTTCCAGTTGTTTCTTTTTTCATGCTTGCAGTTTACCAGCTCTGCAGTCATCAAAGTTGGAAACCAGAGACCTGACTCCGGCTCTCCATTCTTTCCCAGCCTCACTTCAGCTGTCCTGGCTCTACCCCTCCACACCTGCTCTGAAACTGGTGTTTCAGCCTCTATCATTGATCATTGCACAGCAGCTACCTTCTTGGTAGCATCTCCCCCATCCCTCTCAAGCCCATCCTTTAGTCAGCCTTGGGCATGAAATTCCTCAAGCTCCCACAGTTCTTTATTTAAACCTGTCAAACTCCGTGGGTAAGATCAAGTCCAGACACTTCTCCATGACCCAGGACCTCTGCAGTCTGCTCCTTGTCCATCTCTGTGGAAAACTGTTCACACTTTCTACCTATTAGCAGGGGTGCACTAGCAGTAGAAGGAAACACTCCTCTTGAGGTCTTTGTTTTTTCCTCTGGGGAGCATCCCAACACCACAGCACTTCTGTGGGCAGAGCTGGCAGGGCAACTGTTGCGCAGTCTCATGCACTGGACTTTTTGATTCAGTGGCTTTACAATACACAGAGTGCTGGGAGGACAGCAGGGTCCCTGGGGGAGGTTGCCAACAGTAGAGTGAAGATAGTCAGGTTGCATACCTGCTGGGACACTTGCCAACTGTGTGGGACTGGGTAATCTCTCCGGTGTCTGCATTTGAAAGTAGATAAATGCCTCTAAAGTGTCCCAGGGTGGACCAAGGAAGTTGCAGTAATTGCTACAACTTTAAAATTCTACTACTCAGTGTTAGGAGTGGACAGAACTTGGGGACACTTTCTATGGAGACCTGGGGGAGGAAGATCAAGGCATGTATGAGTAATCATGCTCTGCTACTCATTTAGAAAATCTCTCTGAGAAAGTTATTTCTTGTAGCATGATCTCTGGCTCTCCCTGGAAGCAACAATGTTAAGCTAGTTCAGTCATTAGACTCATTGTCACTAGCATCCTGTCAGCAATACAACTCTGGTTTATGAGCTATGACTTGCCCCTAAGTATCATCTCTTTTTCCCTCTAATGTGCTCACCAGGGCACACATCACTGAAGATGACATCACTGGCCCTTACATCAGCCTCCCTCCCTCACATACTGAGGGGAAACAGGCTGATTGTGTGTGAGGAGCCGCCCTCGCTATCGCTATTGCCGTTAGAAGATGGCGCTGACATCCACTGTCAGTTGGAGTTAACTGTCGCTGTCAGTTGGAGTTAACTGTCGCTGTCAGTTGGAGTTAACTGTCGCTGTCAGTTGGAGTTAACTGTCGCTGTCAGTTGGAGTTAACTGTCGCTGTCAGTTGGAGTTAACCGTTTAAACTGTGCCTCTCCCGTGACGTCATCTGGGGTGATGTGCAAACCACCAATCCCGGCTCTACACATCTCACTCGGAGCTCCTAGGCTTATATAAGGGGCTGGGTTTCTTAGCTTGGGGTCTCCCTCTAAGAAGCTGATCATCTATCTCTCAAGATGCATTAAAGCTTTACTGCAGAAGGATCCGAGTGTTCTGCGTCGTTCTTGCTGGCGAGACGGTAGCGCGGGACATCTGGTGCCGAAACCCGGGAACTCTTCAACATCGCCGGCGCCGCGGGAGACCCCTCGGAAAACGGGGCGGATTCAGAACTGCAGGGACGTAGGTTCAGAGAGGTATGCTTTATCCTGAACAACCCTTTTCTCGACTTTGGCCTTAGTTTGTCATCACCGTGGGACGGGTCAGTGGAGGCTTTGGTGCTAGTCCTGTTTGTCCTTCTCCTTCATCGTGGCTGGTGCTGACAGAACGGCGCTGTCCGTCTGGCGCTGTCCGTCTGGCGCTGTCCGTCTGGCGCTGTCCATCTGGCGCTGTCCATCTGGCGCTGTCAGTCTGGTGCTGTCAGTCTGGTGCTGTCAGTCTGGTAACGGAGTTGAGCGCGTTTTTTAGATAAGCTGTCAGCGCGATGGGGTCGTCACAGTCAGTGGTTACAGCCTTACAGACTGTGCTAAAACAAAGAGATCTTAAAATTGCACCACGAACACTTCAAAATTTTGTGAAGGAGGTAGATAGAGTGGCACCATGGTATGCTTGTTCCGGGTCCCTCACTGTGGCCTCATGGAACAAGCTAGGTAAAGAACTAGACAGGAAGCATGCAGAAGGAGATCTCTGCTTAGGTACCAAAGCCATTTGGAAGCTAGTTAAAAACTGCTTGGAGGATGAGGCCTGTCACCCTGCTATAATAGAAAGTCAGGGAACCTTAGAGGAAGTTCAGGATAGCATGTCAGAAACTGAACGGAGTGAGAGAATGGGAGCTCGCAAAAGAAAAGACATGTCTAAGAAAAAGGCCCTCCCCAGGAAGTTAAGAAAGGGGGAGAGAAAGAAGGGAGTTATCATTCACCCCTTAACAAATCTAAGAAAAAGAAAAAGCCAGAATCTAGTCTATACCCTGCAGTAGAGCTAGAAGCCTTGGAGCTAGATAATTCTGATTCTGACACTCTGGATTCTAGCGAAGAAGGTGGTCTAGAGGAGGAGGTGGCACGGTATGAGGAAGAAAGATATCACCCTGATAGACACCGGCCACTGAAAACAAAAATGAATGTGAGGCCACCGCCTATAAATCCGGCGGGCTCACGCCTCTCAGCGCCTCCGCCATATGAGCTTCGGCTGAATACTGGTACTGACTCCTTTTTACCTTTAGAGGAACGGAGAAAAATACAAATGGCTTTTCCAGTATTCGAGAATGTGGAAGGCGGAAGAGTACATACCCCCGTAGATTACAATCAAATTAAAGAATTGGCCGAATCCGTTCGTAATTATGGGGTCAATGCTAACTTTACCACATTACAGGTGGAAAGGCTTGCTAATTTTGCCATGACTCCCACTGACTGGCAAACGACAGTGAAAGCAGTGCTTCCCAACATGGGACAATACATGGAATGGAAGGCTCTCTGGTATGATGCAGCCCAGGCACAAGCTAGAGTTAATGCCACGGCTGAAGATGAGAATCAGAGGCAGTGGACATTTGAAATGCTGACAGGTCAGGGTCAACATGCCCTTAATCAAACCAACTACATCTGGGGCGTCTATGGTCAGGTGTCGGCCGCCGCTATTAAAGCATGGAAGGCCCTCACAAAAAGGGGAGAG